AATTCTTTTTTTATTATTAAACTATAATTGATCTTATTAGTTTTATTAATTTACAATTTATTATTATTGTTTTATTTTATTTTAAATATAACCTTTTTAAAAAAAATTGGTGTTTGACTCTTTATATTTTGGTAAAAAATTAGGTGTTCACACTTCTAACTAAAAAATATTCCACGAATTTATTTATCTTACTTTAATTTTATATATAGTTTATAAAAATATAAAGAATACTCTTTTATCAGTTTTATTTTCTCTGTTCATTTTTAATATTCATTGTTTAACATGACACATATTAAGAAAATAATTATTGATATATGTCTTTTACTACATTATCCTTATCACTTAATATTAGTATTGGGTCTTGAAAAATGTTATAGAGCATAGTATTTTATGCTACGGGTAAAACACGTAAATAAAAATAATTATCTTTTCTTGATATGTCAAAGTGACAAGTAAAAAAAATCTATTTTAGAATAAGCGACAAGAAAAATAAACGGAAGGAGCACTTAAAAGTTGTCAAAAAAATTTTAATTTTATAATATTAAATATGTCATATAAAAAGATAAAATTAAAAAAAAAACTTTTTTTAAATAGAATAAAATAAAAGTAGAACAATCGGATTGAGAAGAAAGAAAATAATTATTTAGGATAAAATGTGCTTAATTGGAACTTTTTTTTATGCTGGTATAAAAAATGTAATATTGTTTATAGCTAAAAACTTGATATTATTTTATATCACATTTCACGGCGTATAACTATTTCAAAATAAAATATTAAAAGATAATAATTTTATAAATTTAAACTTCGTTCTTATAGATGTGCAAAAAAATTACAAATTATGTTTAGCTTTCCAAACTTTGTACATGCTTATTGAGTTTGAGATTATAGGCACTACTCATATACAAAAGGCTGGATATTATCAAGAAATTTACAAATTTAAAAACCTGGCTTTTAATATCAATTAGAAGTGTTAATGCTCTAAGAACACTTCTCCTTGTTTATGCTTTTAAATTAAAAAAAAAAAACTTATTTTCTCTCCTAAAGAAAAAAAAAGCACCAACAAAACTTACCCAATACCCTCTCTAAAATCATCATTGAACCATATGATTGCTTCAACCAATTTCCAGGAGGAATCTACTTGATTCTAGTTAGAATATTAACACTACTAAGAGAAATAAAAAAAAATAAACAAAGTACAAAAAATTACATGAAATCACACCAAGTAATAAAGATTGAGAAATGATAAATAAGAAAATGAAAAATAAAGACATAATAGATAAACATGACTCTTAACTTGACTTCAACGAATAATTTTACCCTCTAATTATGAGTGTGCATAAATATACACTTAAATTTGTATAAAATTGAACAAGTATACACATATCTCCTATATGGCATAACACATGTAGGATGCAGACATATGACACAAAATTGTCATGTAAGGTTGTTCATTTGTTCAATTTTATACAAGTTAAATTGTCTACTTGTGCACACCCAAAGTTAAAGGTCATAGTTGCGCCCTGACGCCAAGTTAAGAGTCATATTTATATATTATGCCAAAGATAAATATATAAAAAAGTATTTAACATAAATTAAAATTAAAAAGGATAGATTATACATTATATTAGAACAAATAAGTATAGAAAACTAAAAATATCTTTTGATTATACAATATAATAAGTATTAACAACTCTCAACCTATTTGATAACTGGAAAAAAAGTTCAATTACTTCCCATCAATTATGTCTAATTAAATGCTGATCAAAGAATTACTCAGTGAGAGAAATATGATAAAATTATGTAATTACACTCTTTAAATGTTTTAAAGAGAGGAAATACGCAGGTGGGGCCACAAAATTAATGTACATCTTACCTACATAGTTGCATCATTTAGATTCATTTCATAGTATTTTATTTTCCTTTGTCTATATAATTTCAAAAAGAGTACTTATTTTATTTGTTTACTAAGTTCGGCACATAATTTTTATGTGAGATAGTTTGATTCGACATGAAATTTAATAAAGAATTTTTTTTTGAAAATTTGTGATCTAAAATGAATAATAAAAATTTGCATGACTATAAATTATTTCATTAAGGATAAAATAAATATTTTAAAGTTAAATTATTATTTAATATAAAAACATATCATTCTTTTCATGACCGAAGAAAAAGAGAATAAGTTGTTTGAATTGGGTAATGTGATACAAACATCTATTTAACTTATTTTAAATTACATATTACTCAAAAATAATAATTAAGGTAATTTCATATTCAATCTAACTATTTTCACATAAATTGAGACGGATGAATATTCATTCTGCAATGTGATTGGTCATGCCTGGATTTCTGTAATTCTAGTCTGGACGTTATAGAAAATAATATTTTGTGATCAATTATAAACTCACTTCATTTTAATTTATTTGTTTTTTTTACTTAACACATAGTTTAAAATAAATATTTTCAAATCTTATTTATCTTAAATTCAATATATTAAAATGTATCATTGTGTTATTTAATTTTATGGTGTTATTAAGGACTTGCCCCAAAAAAAAACACTTTTTTATTTTTAAAAAATCTACAAAAAAGATAAGACAAACAAATTGATTGTTTCAACATAATTGTTGAACAAAATATTTACTCAAAATAAGATACTAAACATAAGAATAACCATCCATTAGAGAAACAATGGCACATATATTATAGTGACACTGCATTGATCTTAATTTGTTACATCTTTTGTTTTTACTGTGGAAATTTAAATTCAAAAAATGTATAATAATGGAAAATAAAGTATGAGATTAATTAGATCAAATTTTTGTGGATCTAATTAATTAATTAATTAAACTAATGTGGCAAACTAATCTCATCATCATCAAGATCATCTAATGAAAGGAACACTTCATCCAAGCATGAAAGCTCATTTTCGTCACTGTCACATGAGTTGCTTTCATATACACGACAAATTACCCATTTACTATAGTCCTGAATAAAACCAACAAACACTAAAATAGTAAGAATAATAGGATTTTAACATAACACATTAAAATCTTTGCTTATCGTTTCTTTTTCTAGTTTTCATACTTAGAAATTACATTCCACTTATTTTGATGTTTTTGAATTTTAAGAGTTAAGTAGTTTAATTTTGACGCTAAAGTCAGGTTTAAAATTATTATATTTTGAAAAATAAAACTTTTCTATTAGAAAATTGTGTAAAAAGTAAAAAAAGTTATAACAATTGATAATTTAATATTTCCCTTGTTTCAATTTATATAACTTATCCCTACTTTCCCTTTTAGTCAGCCCAAAAAGAATAATACATTTATATATTTAATAACAATTTAATTTTAGATGTCACTTAATGAATGATTATTCAAAACTTTTTCTTTCTTAAAACATCATGTCAAAACAAACTAATTCATATAAATTGAGATAGAGGAAGTATATATTTTAAAAAATTATATTTAAAAAGGTTTGATGATTAAAAAAAAAAAAAAGACTTGCTTGAATCTTCAGATTCCTAGAAGACGTCACAAAAATTGAGACTGGAAGAGTAATGAGTAGATACGTGGAAGCTAAGTGGACATACAATTTTTGATTCACTTCTTCTTCTTCTACTGCTACTTGATGAAGGTGAAGAATGAGAGATGTGGCTATATTCTTGCATCAGCCAATTAGTTTTATGGCCTTGCGGTGGCTGACCCATGTAAAATGTATAGTATTTCTTCATTCCAAGGTTGTGATTGGAAGTTGACAAGATTGTTTCATCAACTCCCAAAGATTTCCAATATCCATTGCTTGTGATTCTTGTGGTCTCATGTGTTCTCCTGCTATAGAAATACCATTTATTTCCTCCGGACATTGCTTTTCCTGCCAACACCATCAAAAGACTGTAACTTGTATACATCAGACAATTAATTTCTCCATTTATACAAAAAAAAAAAAAATGATCTAATTTGAGTTGACACGAAATATATGAAAATATATTCTGGTTCTAATTAAATTAAAATTATGACAGGAGTGTCAAAATGTTTTTTGATCCTTAGACATGCATACTGCACGTGGAACACTAAAATTAAAGTATTGCCAAAAACGAAAAGAGGTCAGGTCATTCTCTTTTTTTAAACATACTAATGAGAAAAACAGGCAATTCTTTTTTAAACGGAGAGGGTATATATGTTTGAACAAAAAAAAGGGTAAAAGTAAAAGATTTACCATCCAAATCCCAAGGATCATAGGAATGAAGATGAAGATCAGGAATAACATCAGGATGAAAAGGTAATAGAGATATCTTGCGATGAAGAAAATGAACAATTAGCTCTTCATCTGATGGGCAAAACCAAAAACCAGGTGGTAGCTTCACATGATTATTATTATTATTATTATTATTATTATTATTATTATTATCCCCCATTGATCAAAAACCTAACTTATATGATGAGAGACGCATTTATATGATGAGAGACACATATGTAACACTTATATATATTTATATCATTTGAAAGAGAGAGAGGTTGACGTGAGAAATAAGTATGATGATCAACACCATCACCATACTATAGCAATAGCTAGCTTCAAAACATGTTTTGCTTCTTTTGATATTGTAAGGTGGGGGCTGATGCTACACCTTTTTATTTATATCACTACTTATAACTCAAACCCAATATTTGACACTAACTACAACTCTTTAATTTGTAACTCCAATAATCAACTTCCTCTTTTATTTTCCCTTTCTCTTATTCCACTCTAGTTTAATGGCATGTAAAATTGCTGAGAGCTTTCATGAATAACAAATCAAGTGTATTTAGGACTCACATCAAAGCATGTAAATCTGTCCTATCAACTTAAGCATATTAAGAATAAAACTAATTAGGCAAGATGATCTAATGAACATTCATACTTATATGCGTTTGTATTTTGGATCCTTCTACTTATCTTTTGTTAACTAATTTTTTAAACTCGATGAAACTCAACATTTTAAACCCCTTTGGTTTTGCATGAATATCAAATGCAAAATAAAAGTGACATGTCATCATCCACATTAGATTTAAAATGACAGATCACTTGTTATTTATTTTTGAGAAAAGACTCAAATATGCCTCTAAACTATTCGAAAAGGTCATATACCCTCCGTTTAAAATTGGGTTCCTCCCCGTCCAACAATTCGCTCAAATATGCCCTTATGGACGTTAGTTGGTATGTTGAACATATCCAACTCATTTTTCATTTCTTTAAATGCCACATGGAATTGTCATGTCATTTTGACCTTACCACATGGCATTTATATGAAAATGAAAAGGGATAGGGACCTATAAACACATAATTTGACTCATAAATCAACCCCCTTTTAAATAAAATATCAGACCCATTTTTGACAATTTTGTTAATTTTTATTTTTTTGGTAAATCTCGAAAATGAGTAATTGATTAATAAAAAATAGGAAAAATATGAATATATATATATATATATATATATATATATATATATAGCGTCTGTAGGTGGCTTTTTAAGTCCGCCGTCAAATCCCAAGGCTCAACCCTGGACAGGCGATGGAAACTACAAAGCTGGAGTATGGTAGGGGCAAAGGGAATATCCAGTGGAGCGGTGAAATGCGTAGTGATCGAAAAGAACAGCAACGGCGAAAGCACTCTGCTGGGCAGACACTGACACTGAGAGACGAAAGATAGGGAAGCAAATGGGATTAGATACCCCATAGTCCTAGCCGTAAACGATGGATACTAGGCGTTGTGCGTATCGATCCATGCAGTGTTGTAGCTAACGCGTTAGGTATCCCGCCCGGGGAGTACATTCGCAAGAATGAAACTCAAAGGAATTGATGGGGGCCTGCACAAACGGTGGAGCATGTAGTTTAATTCGATACAACACGCAAAACCTTACCAGGGCTTGACATGCTCCGAATCCTCTTGAAAGAGAGGGGTGCCTTCGAGAACACAGACACAGGTGGTGCATGGGTGTCGTCAGCTCGGGTTGTAAGGTGTTGGGTTAAGTCCCGTAACGAGCGCAACCGTCGTGTTTAGTTTCCATTGTTGAGTTTGGAACCCTGAACAGACTGCCGGCGATAAGCCGGAGGAAGGTGAGGATGATGTCAAGTCATCATGCCCCTTATGCCCTGGGCGACACACGTGCTACAATGGTCGGGACAATGGGTCGTGATCCCGCGAGGGTGAGCTAACCCCCAAAACCCGTCCTCAATTTGGATTGCAGGCTGCAACTCGCCTGCATGAAGCCGAAATCGCTAGTAATCGCTGGTCAGCCATACGGCGGTGAATTCGTTCCCGGGCCTTTGTACACACCGCCCGTCCACTATGCATACATACATACATACATACATACATACATACATATATATATATATATATATATAAACCTTCAATGCAACAATTTCAATAATTTTTTTAAATTTTTTATTTTTTCGGTAAATCGCGAAAATGAGTAATTGATTAATAAAAAAATATGAAAGTTATGGAAAAAATATAATGTTAACGCCAAAAAACACAAATAAATATAGTAACCTTTAACTCAACAATTTATTTTAATTATTATTTTTTTGACCAATCCCGAAAATGAGTAATTTATTAATAAAAATGGAAAAATATGAAAAATATAATATTTATGCCAAAAATTCAAAAAAACAATATAGTAACCTTAAATTCAATAATTTCAACAACTTTTTTTAAATTTTTATTTTTTCAATAAATCTCGAAAATGAGTAATTGATTAATAAAAAAAAAGAGAAAAATATGAAAAAATTATAAAATTAAAGCCAAAAGATCACAAATAAATTTATTTTCAAAAAAAATTTTATTTAATATTTTCCTATTTTTTTATCAATCAATTTCTCTTTTTAAACAATTTTATTGAAATTGTTGAATTTAAGGTTACTATATTTATTTGTGAATTTTTGGCATAAATTTTATATTTTTTCATATTTTCCCTATTTTTTATTAATAAATTACTCATTTTCAGGATTTTCCAAAAAATAATAAAACTAAAAAAATATTAAATTGTTGAATTTATGGTTACTATATTTAATTTTGAATTTTTGAAGTTAATTTTATATTTTTTCATATTTTTTTATTAATCTATTACTCATTTTCGGGATTTATCGAGAAAAAAAAATTTAAAAAAATTGTTAAATTTGTTGCATTTAAGGTTACTATATTTATTTATGAATTTTTGGCATTAATTTTTTATATTTTTCATATTTTTCTTATTTTTATTAATCAATAACTCATTTTCAGAATTTATCAAAAATAATTAAAATTAAACAAAATTGTTGAAAATGGGTCCGATAGTTTATTTAAAAGGGGTTGATTTATGGACCGGATTAGGTGTTTTTGTAGGGGCATAATTGATCTCTTTCCATTTTCAAATAAATGTCATGTGGTAAGGTCAAGATGACATGACAATTCCATATGACATTTGAAGAAATAAAAATGAGTTTGATATGTCCAGCATACAAACTAACGCCTATAAGGGCATATCTGAGCCAACATTTGGACTGCGAGGGTATGAGTAAGTCAAACTTTAAACGGATGGTATATCTGATTGAATTGTAGAGATAAGTAATCATATACAAATACTGAAATTGTACAAATAAGAACCAAAGCATCTACTTGCTGATAATATATACAAAAACAAACTACAAAATTCATATGTGGGTTAAAAAACATAAAATTACTTAAATCAAATGTATACAATGATACTCAAATATAGAATCTTAAATGATATACAAATGATAAATGCTAGATATCTAATTTATATCTATACCTGAAACATAAAATATACAACAAATAATTGTATATGATTACTGGAAAAATACAAATAAGGCCTAAAAAGCGGGAAAAGCAACAACAATAAAGATTGATACAATAAATTCATAAAATTGTATACCACAAAATATGAAATTTATTTATTGAAGCAAAAACAAATCACAAAGTTTATAAAGTAAATTATACAAATACATAGTATATCCACCAGCTTCTTGTTTGAGCAATCTTCCACTAGTAGCCTCAAAGGACTGACTTTGTAATTCTCTAGATCCAACTTCTTGAAAATCAAAAAAAGTATTAAATTTATACTTAACCCCAAATAACATAAGGCTTTTGTCGAATTTGTGCACCCTCAATGGTGCATGATAAATGTTTGTGCTCCTAGATGTTTTGGTGATCTCCTCACAAGTGTAGGGACGTGGTCCTCTACAGAGTATGAATACACGTCCAATTGTCACAGTGTTGTACATTTCTAAAGTTGTCTGCGTCAGAAAGTTGGTGAAGCAGCAAAGTACTTCACCAATTAAAAGTGACGAGGTTGTTTGTTTTTTGGAATAACTCTTCATGGTAAATATCAAACAAACAACAATATTGACTCATTTATTCAAAGAGAGACATTGTCAAGCTTCAAAACAGCAAGCGACCTGATACAAGTGCTTATATTGATTGCTATACCAGCTACATTTGTTTGCTTGTAATTGTGTTTACATAGTATGATTCATTTCACTTGTGAAAGAAATGTTTCAAACTTTTATGAATCATTGTAAGAACTTAGCTAAAGGTAACATAGATTCTTACACTAAAAGTCTATATTGATCAGGTTAGGATTAGTACATATAGTGGGCAGTGTTGTATTTGCTCTGGCCCAGCTATGTGATAGGATAGATCGCTTAGTGTGGAGATTAACAGGATAAATCTAGTTTTGTAATTGGCTTTTACTTTTGCTTGTTGAAGATTAGTTAAAGCAGTTTGAAAAGTCCTATTGAGAATAGATCACGGGTTTATTCCCTTGAGCAAGGAGGTTTCCACGTAAAATTGCCTATCAATTTTTACTTTCTGCATTTATTCTTTACTATTTTTTTATTTTTGTACTGAGAACCTGGTCCCATCAATATAAGTGAATGCATACATTCTAACAAGTGGTATCAGAGCTTCACTTTTCAGTTGGTTAACACCAAGAAAAGGAAGATCCTGAAGGAATGGTTTCTCCACCAAATATGGAGGAAGTAAAGTCATCTACCGGTGGTGGAAAAATAGAATGCATGAATATATCAATGTTGAGGACACTAAGCTGCGGGACGTCATCACTGATACCCTACATCCCCTTGAAAGAAGTAAAGGATGGAGAGCTCACCATTACCGTCGTCAAGACCATAAAGGAGTACAGTGAAGCTGATAAGAAAAAGATAGAAAAGAACTACAAAGCGAAAAAAAATTGGTGTGTGGTATTGACTCTGATGAATACAATAAAATCTCTAGACATGAGACTACCAAAAAGATTTTGGATTGTCTTCAAACAGCTCATGAAGTCACCAAGAAAGTGAAGGAATCCAAAGTTGACATGCTCACTACTCAGAATGAGAACTTCGTTATGAAGGATAGTGAGTCCATCTTTGAAATGAAACTTAAGATTCACCTCCAACACTAACGATCTTAGATGTATCGGTGAGCCTCTCCCTATTTACAAGCAGGTTCACAAGATTCTTAAGGTGCTTCCTAATCTTGCGAAAGCAAGGTAGATGATATAAAAGAAGCAAAGGATCTGATGGTTCTCCATATGGATGAACTAATTGGGAATTTTCAAACTTACGAGATAAACAAAAAATATGGAACACTGGTGAAGGAAGGAAGGATAAATTCATTGCCTTGAAAACATATCAAAGTGAGATGATAGAGGAGGAAGCTGAAATGACATATGTCACAAAGAGGTTTCAAGAGATCATAAAAAAGCATAGGGGTTTCCAAAAAAAAGCCACTACCAGCAGAACTCCTACAACAAATGATCTTTGCTACAAGTGTAGTAAGCTCGGCCACTTTATAAGGGATTGTCCAAGTCAAAGACTAGAAACTCATGAAACCAAATTTCACAAGAAGGAACTGGTCCCAAACAATGTTCGGAGGAAGGCTCATGTTGAACAGTTGTCACGACCCAAAATGAGTCGTGAGTGGCATCCACACTTAACTACCTAGGTGGACGAACCAAGAAACTTAAATCCCAACATGTACCAATAATTCAACTGTGAATAACAAAATATTGCGGAAGCTTCAAAATTTATTAACTATCGTTTCCCAAAACCTGAAAGTCATCACATCAAGGACATCTAATCTCTAATTACTAAGTCTAAGAGTATCAAAGACACCAAATTAAATGAATAAAATGGTATGTGTCCGAAAGTATAGGACATCATGTCATGACCGCAAGAATCCAACACGGTCTTGAATGAA